CTGATCGAATTTTAAGGTGGGACTAGTGCCATTGGAAGCTCCATGAAATTATCTTTCCATCCATATAAAGAACGCCCAAAACGGACACCGTATGTGACCTGGGCGTCATTTTAGTACGTGCTACTCCTGGACTCCGAGACGGGCTCGAACTTGAGTTGCTTTGGGCCTCCACCTTGGGGACTCGAACCGAATTAGCCTTAGGCCTTCTTCTTGACTTGGACACCCTTGCTGGCCTCCTATCCCTCCATACCATGCGCCAAACATGGTCATATGCATGGGTGTCATGTCCTCATCAAATACCGACTGACATGTTCTATTGTACTTGTACTATCTTGACCAGTGAACTTAGCAAATTCCGGAAGCCTGTAATTCATACGAAGGGCAACCAAATCATACCACTCTGGATATGGACGTTTGTACGAAAAGGTCTGTCCTTTTGGTTTTAAACCGAACTGATTCTTCATCATTTCGGTTACTCTAAGCAACAACTCATCAACATTTGAATCTAGATTTCTTTGCAACTGTTGACCCATCTACGGATTAAAATTTTGGGTACCTTGATATCCTAGATTTGGAATCATATGAAGGGTATTATAATCTGTGCCATAATAATATCCTTGTGGAATCTCTATCTGTTGGGTCCTTTACTGATTTGCTGCTTGAAGTCTCTGATTGTAAATGTTGGGATCTGTATCTCTATGAATCCTTTGAACTGATAGTGCTATTTTTGAGCCGATGCCGGTATTTGGCCTGATGTGCCAAAATTAACCATTTGATTCTGAACTTGCCCCGCCGGCTATTGCACATGCTGTACTGATGATATAGGATTATGCTGTATTTGATTAGTAGTGGTACCCTAAACTTGCTCAGATGAGCTCTAAACTATGTGTGCATCATCATTGCCAGCTAGTGCTGCTTCTTGATAGCTAGTACCGGCTTGATTAGTCCCTTGAGTCGACGAATGAGGAATGTTGTAATAAGCCGGTTCAATCTGATCAATTGGATATCCATGAAACACCTCCTCCATGGTATTATGGAATATGTTTAAGAAAGTTGTATTATGATTCAACATGGCATCATGAGCAGATTTATTGACAGCATCTACAAAGAAACGTCTATCATTAGCTTCATCTGTATCTGACTGTCTATGTATCAAAACTCTTTGTAGTGAATATTTCTGAACAACTTTATTATCACTTGTCTTCGTATAGGACAACAAACACTTGTTCTAAAAACTCTTCTATAGCTTTACTAATGACATCTTTGTACTCATCAGGTAAGTCTTCATAAGGCACCATAAGAATGTCCCTGTTGTTGTGAGCTGCCATGACGATTATGGGGTCCCACTAGATGTGTTAGAACACGTGTCGGTGCAAAAAACGGGATGATGCACCTGACACGCTACAAGCCGAAACAATCTAGGCGGAGTCAGCTCAGAGATCTACTTAGCTTCAACACAGAACCAGTCGATCCTGAAAGTCCCGAAGGCGTGCTAGTCAATTTGACCTGCAATTGATAAGCAGAGAAAGTTTTATCAGTAATTTAGGGTGAAACATGCGGGTTTTGTCCAAACAGTTTCAAGTATGCTGCTTCGAGAATAGCCAAATAGGGGAATCGACTAAATAGCCGATACGAGGAGAGATCGACTGTTAAGGACTGTGATGCTCGTGGGTCATGATTGATTTATGATAACAAGTACGATGCACCCAGATATAAGTAATATAAAGAAACATCATCAGCTAGATGAATATAACCAGTGTAAAACATTGAGCAGATGAGTTTAACGAGAAAGGATATAACATGCTGACAAATTGATTGTCTAGTATAAATGGATCTACAAATGCTCTGAATCTAATATGTTACCATCAACAGTGAGGTTCGATCAGATTGATATAGCTATGATAATGATGACAAACTAAAGTCAAAGAATTCATAAAACCATCTATACATTGACAGGTTCATGAAAACATGCTATATGTGTGAAAGCATAGGTAAATTGGCTAAAATAGTCGATGCATGCATAGCAAATAAATAGAGTACATATCTCGATCATGAATAAAACCACTAATCGATAATCTCTAATCTAAAGTCTTACCAGTGAGGTTCGACCGGATCGATATAGCTATGGTAGTGTCATTAGATTAGATCTCATTAACTAGCGAGTTTATCCAAGATCGAAACATGTCTTTGAATGCATACTATGCTTGATTGGAATAGAGATAAAACAACCGATATAGCGGAATTAAGCCGTTAATTATGAGATTCAAAGTGTGACCAGACTAGAAGATGACCAATTATGACGATATGATGCCAATCTATCTCTATCTCAATCAAATAATTTATTATGATTAATGGAACATTAATCATAACAAGATCAATAACTGGTGAATCAGCCAAAAATAGTAAGGAAAATCTTACTAATCTTAGCAAATTCGATAACTGGTGATATTGTATTAAACAACAAGTTATTTAACATAAGATCGATAACTTTGATCTATATTATGGTTCGTAAGAGATCAATCAGCTGATACAGCCTTACAAACTACGATACAGATCGATAACTAACTTATATTACAACTCGTAAGAGATCAATCAATTGATGCAGCCTTACAAGTAATAATACAAGTCATGACGGTACTCACAGACAAGCCGAAGGTCGATCAGTTGATGCAGCCCTGTTTGTTGAAGAACTTGTCAAGATCTACAGTACTCCTACTCCTAAGGGTTGGCATAAAGCCAGGAAAAGTAATTTGTATTGATTGATTAGTTTTTCTTTACAATAACCGGGGTCCAATATTTATACCCGGAATCTAAACATAAATCCTACTCAAATACAACTCATTACAATTCTTGAAATAAAATAAAACATTTCTAACTTAAGATAACTTGGACCCTTATCTTTTTCTTTTTTTAGAGTCCGACATATTCTTCCCGACACCATTCGTATGTAGTCCATTGACGTTGTTTGCCGACATCGTCTATAAAATAACTGATCCCAGTACCGTATCTGAATCAGCTAATATTGATTCTTACACCATCGATTCCTTGATGATACAATCATGGAAGTTTCGAGTTCCCTCGTTCTTCTTCCCAAAATTTGGTGTAAACAGCAAGCATACCCAATCGTGACTCTTGATAGATGAAAGCTAAATTTCTTAATCTGTATGGGAGTCGTGGTAGGGCACCTGTGATCAAATCCAAGACTCGAACTTGTCGAAACGAATCGTAGTAGAATTGAAGATTGAAAAATGTTGAATCTTCTCGATGAGATTGTCCAGTGCATCTTTAGATTGAGTTGGCAGAGCTTGATCAGCTTGGATCTCTACGAGGTGGCCTTGAAGTTTGCCATTGTCGTCCATGTGCAAACCCAGGAGCCAAAAACAAACTTGGTCGCTCGTCCATGTCTTCAAGCAAACCTTGGGCGGGCCTAGGAATCCTCCGAGTAGCCGGTCCAGTGGGGAACCCATAGGATCTTGATCCATCACTTTTCTTCTTCCCAACCACATCCATTCGCTCGTCCTTGGCCGCTCGTCCTTGGAGGTGCGACTCACCCATGGTCGGTCCCGCCCCGCCCCTTGTCGGCGTTGCACCTCCCCATCCTCAATCGCGCATCCTTGCCCCTTACACACCTCGCGTTGGTGCTACAGCTCTTGTCGTCGTTGCGGCTCCCACCAGCACTGCATCTCCCTGTCGTCATAGCAGCTCCCGCCGGCGCCTAGCCTCCATGTCGGCTGCGACCCCATGGTCGCCAATGTTGTGGCTACCCACCGGTTTTGACCCTGTCGGTGTTGTGGCTCCCTAGCCCCGAAGACACAGCTGCTAGTCACCCATGGCCACACCAAAACGGGAGCACACGATGTTGACCGGGGACGACTCCGTCCCCTCGATTTGGAGGGACCGGAGTCACCCGAATTCGTTTTTTGAGTACTTTTTTCTAGTCGATTCCAGATCCATATTCGACAATATCCAACTGTACCTATATCTGCGAAGAAAACGAGGTATCATGAACCTACTTAAAAGTTTTCTCTCCATAACAAGTGACCAATTATTTAATTTTATATTATTACTAATAATGCATTGAACCCATTTAATAGTACATCTATAAATAATTTTTAGTATTATTTTAAAATTATTAAGGATACATAAAGATTAAATTAATTCCAATTTAGTTTAATCCTAATATATTTGTTCTTTTAAATTCTTTTAGTACTTTAGTTTATTTATTTATTGATGTAAATTATTTATAAATTTATAATTTCATGATAAATATATATATAAATATAATATTGATTGATTAATTGATATATTTAATTATTAATTTTTATTGATAACTATATTATTTTTATGTGCTATCCTTTGTCTATGTTATATACACAAATGCTTTAATCTCTACTTGTGTGATAATTTAGTAATTTCAATACTATTGATAAAGTAAAATGGCTATTTGTTTTCTACCATTTTATTTTAATTTCTTCACTTGTCTATTATTTTGTTCAATATTATCCATCATAATCTAGTTTACTTAGATATTGGAGACTATTAGAAGTATACTTTCATTTAGTTCCCTTTTATAAACTATGTACTTAGTAGTAAATTTTTATTCGTGTATGTTAAATTTAACACTATACATTTTGAGTTGACGTGAGTAAATATTCGAATAGAAATCTGAATCCAAGATATCCGTTTTGTATATTCAAATATATCTAAATCCGTATTTATACTCAAATTAAAATATGATAAAAGGTGATATCGGAATTCAATTAAATCGATTGGTTTCCATCCCTACTTCGGAACCACAAACACATGCAAGCAGGCCCATAGTTGGCCATGGACTCACCGTACGGCCATTGCCATCACTCCACATAGGAGTCCCCTTTCAATCAAAAAAAAAAGGAAAAAAAAACACATAGGCGCACACCGAAGAGGCAACAGGCGAACGAGAACGACGAAGCCAACGCCACACACCACCGCACGCACGCCCCGCCGCTCGCCGCACCCCGATGTCGGCCGCCGACCCCTCCGCGGCTCCGGCTGCGGCCGCGGTCGCCGACCCGGATGGCCCTGACGCCGTGCGGCTTACCTGGAACACCTGGCCACGGTCAAAGGTCGAGGCCAGCCGCTGCGTCGTGCCGCTCGCCGCCACCATCTCGCCCGCTCGCGTCCCGGACCCCTCGGCGGCATCCCCGCCGCCGCTCCCTTACCCTCCGCTCCGCTGCAAGCCTCCCTGCTCCGCGCTCCTCAACCCCTTCGCGCGCGTCGACTTCGCCGCCAAGATCTGGATCTGCCCGCTCTGCTTCTCCCGGAACCACTTTCCCCCGCACTACGCTGCCATATCTGAGTCCAACGTCCCCGCCGAGCTCTTCCCGCAGTGCTCCACCGTCGAGTACATCGTTGGCGGAGCCGGCGTCCCCGGGGTAGGCGGCGCGCCGGCGCCCCCGCCGCCCGTATTTCTCTTCGTCATCGACACCTGCGTCATCGAGGAGGAGCTGGAGTACGTCAAGATGGCCATGCGGAAGGCCGTCGCGCTTCTGCCGGAGCACGCACTCGTGGGCCTCGTTACCTTCGGCACGCAGGTGCATCTGCACGAGCTCGGATTCTCCGATCTCAGCAAGATCTACGTCTTCCGGGGGACCAAGGAGATCTCCAAGGACCAGATTTTGGATCAGCTTGGGCTGGCGGGTGCTGGGCGCCCGGGCTTCCCCAAGATGCCACAGCAACCGGGCGGCCCGCAGGTGAATGGGATGCATCCGCCGTCCACGGCCGGGGTCAACAGGTTCCTGCTCCCGGTGTCAGAGTGCGAGTGTGCACTCAGCACGGTGAGGGATTTTTGGGTTTTGATCTCGTTGGACTTCGGTTTACTGGAAGCTGATGTAGTTCCTTGTCCCATGCAGTTGCTGGACGAATTGCAGCCTGACCAATGGCCAGTGGAGGCCGGGAACCGTGCGATCCGGTGCACCGGTGTTGCGCTCAGTGTGGCTGCTGGGTTGCTTGGTGCTTGCATGCCTGGGACAGGTGCAAGGATCATTGCATTGCTAGGTGGTCCATGTACTGAGGGCCCTGGAATGGTAAAGATCACTCCTGTTTTACTCCTTATATTAATCTACGTTAACATGATTGTGTTACGATTTTGTGATTCTTGTGAAGTCTTCAAGTACATGAATGTTGGCTTGTTTAAGATGTGTTAAAAATTGAAAAATATTGCTGCTGTATGGGTTGTCATGCCTGAAGTGCACTTAGCCTAGCTTCTGTAGGCAAATACGGGACTTATCATGCTCCCCCGTTCATAGCAGATTCTTCTCTATTTAATGTTCATATTTCCTTTAAAATCTTTCTAATACTGTATTCGTGAGTGCAGATTGTTTCAAAAGATTTGTCAGAACCAGTTAGATCACATAAGGATCTTGACAAGGACGCAGCTCCTCACTTCCAGAAGGCCATTAAATTTTATGATGGTCTTGCTAAGCAGTTGGTCAGTCAAGGCCACGTGTTAGATGTTTTTGCATCTGCTCTCGATCAGGTTTGTATAGCACATTGCTTAGCACGGTTTATGCTTGCATTTGCATCAAGATTTCTATTTTCATTATTTCATAAACAGAGAAAATCCTGAATTTATTTTCCAGTGATTTTTTATTATATTAGATCGAATGTTGGGTATTTGGATTCTGGTCGTGCACTGAATTGATGGATAACTAGACAATGTTTGATTTAGTGTTAATCTCGATGAATATATGTTCTTGTTCAACAGTTTTTTAATTCCCTAAAGATTCTACTCCCTCCATCCCAAATTATAAGACATTTTGGCTTTTCTAGACACATCTAGATACCTTGCTTTAACTATGTATCTAGACATAGTATATATCTAAGTGGATAGCAAGGGCTATGTATCTAGAAAAGCCAAAACGTCTTATAATTGGCATGGAGGAAGTATTAAATAAGTTTTATGTTGGGAGTCAACTGAAGCTAGTTTAATTCCTGACATATGAAAAATCCTTGCAAATGGTAAAAAATGGAAATATTTCATAACATAGGGTACAATTTCTTCTATCATCACAAGATTTTAAGACTTAAAACATGACTTTCTTTCCATCACGGTTGAAACCAAATTTCATTACTAGAAGCAACGACATTACAAAAGTTTGACGGAATGCAGAACAGACAGTACTAGAACGAGGAAAGTGCCAACTCCCCTGGACGGGGAGAGGCAACCTTAAAACATGACTTATATGAGAGATTAAAAAGGAAAAATGTCATTAGGGAGAGAAATATTTTACAAACATTATCTGAAAAACAGAAGTGGATTTTTTCCCTTTGTTATGGTATATATGGTTATCTTAACGAAGCAACAATGCATAAGCCTATAGCACTGACATTAGATATGGTTCTCTTGTTTTCTTTTCATGTATGTATGTTCAATTGTTCATTGGCATCCAACTGTTAGTGCTTGTTTAATTTCGATGTGAATCCAACTAAGCAAGACAATATAAGTCATCAAATTATATTAATAAGTTTGCTGGTGTGTTTGGGAGCTTCTGTGTTCTGTCAGCATAAATGCACAATTTATAATATCTAATATAAAATGTTAACAAAGTTTTAACTCCATGTGATGGTTATACTACGGATTCCTCTGTTCTACACCTGGTTCTTATTTTTTATTCCTGCTACTGCTAGACATGTTTGCTTGAACTGGTGTTTTTTTTTTATCTTTGCCAATGTTTGCAATGCCAACAGGTTGGGCTAGCTGAGATGAAGGTTGCTATTGAGAGAACAGGTGGCCTTGTTGTCTTGTCTGAAAGTTTTGGGCATTCTGTATTCAAGGATTCTTTCAAACGCATTTTTGAGGGAGGTGAACAGTCTCTAGGCCTTTCATTCAAGTACGTTTTCTGCCTGTCCCTTGTTTTTTCTTTCGTGTTTACATATCTTTCTTAAGTTAATATAGGTGTCATAGATCTGTATCATGATTTATCAATATTTACTTTTACCCTGGAAAATTACAGTAGATCCCATAGCTAGCAAGCGAAAAGATAGTGGTAAGGCACCGGCCTTTGACACTCATGGTTGGTTTGGGCCCTCTTACCAGGGGGTAGCTGCAATGGTTGCTAGCCCAGAAGGTTGTGGTCGGCCCAGGTTACGTTGTGTGACCCTGTAGGGTGAAGCCGGCTTCGGGGGTTCTGTTTGTTGGTTTGACTGAGAACTTCTTAGTGCAATACTGTGGGGGCAATCTTTCCCCACTGGCCAAGTTTTTTCATTAATTTGAGTTAATTTGGGTTCGTTGTTTGAGATCTAAATTATTTTGAACTGTTAAATTCAGAAAATTGTTTAAATAGAAATAGAAATTAATATTTGCCTATTTGGAATGTGGGACAAACAAAATAGTGTCTTTAGGAGTGCAAATGGTGCTGAAATAATGCAAACTATATAAAAGAAGAGCAGCAATGAGATTTCTAGCGAACTTGATTATACTGGAGTACTGGATAGTGTGTCACTGTATATGTTTCGGGTTTATTATATCCAAAGATAACATCCAGGTGCTCTATTTTTGGTTCTTTGTCCATGCCAAAGAGAAACAGCTGGTTATGTGAACTGCATAAATTATTTGAGCCTGCTATTTTCTTCAATTAATTGGGTACATGGATTAAGTGATTGATTGATAGTTTTCCTAACATAAATTAGTTGTGCTTATTACACATTGGTAGTCGAGTATCGGGGTGGAACTGAATCGTCTATTCTGTGCATACGAAATCAATACATTTGACATAAACCCTTACAGCATGTTGGGTAATGTTTCGGGGGCTTTTCCCGAAGCATTTCCTTGGAGAAGTTGAAGTGGCCACAAATATGTTTCTTTTGTATCATACGTTTTGCTTTCATAAAGGAAACAACACTCAACTGCTAGAAGTAAAAACACATACAATAGAATTGCTTCTCAAAAGCCAGCAAATCCATAATTGTAGAGAACCATAAGAGCCCATAAACTGGATGTTGTTTCTATTAGTCTTATAAGCTCGCATACTACTTTACATACAAATTCAGAACACCTCCTTTTTCATTTTGTGTTTGTGATATCATTCTAATAACTCCTAAAATGCAATTATTCATGGCTTGTCTTGTTCTGCAGTGGCACAATTGAAATAAACTGTTCAAAAGATATTAAAGTCCAAGGTATTATTGGACCATGCACATCTTTGGAGAAGGTACACCTATTTGTATTGTGTTCTCAGTGTTCTTTAAATTGGAGGTATTGATATTGAAATTTGGCTTGATTTTTGCACCTCACAGAAAGGAGCTGTGTGCGCTGACACAGTTGTTGGTCAAGGAAATACAGCAGCATGGAAAATGTGTGGTCTCGATAGAAATACTTCTCTGACAGTATTTTTTGATGTCTCACCGAGTGAACGATCGAGCCAGCCAGGACACCAAAATCCCCATTTGTATATACAATTTGTAACAAGGTATTTACCCTTTTGCTGCCTTTGGTGTAAGAATGGCTCAATATACTAAATGTTCTGATTCTTTTTGTAGTTACCAACACCCAGAAGGTCAAATGAGGATAAGAGTTACTACGATATGCAGGAAATGGGTAGACGGATCCACTAATACTGAGGTTAGCTTTAAACTTTGTTATCTGCTTTGTTTGTGATGGTATACTCTCTTCTAGATCAAATTGTTACTAGGGAAAAATTGCAAAACCCTCCTCATATATCACTCTGGTTTTGAGGTTCCAATTCCACCTGTTTTTGGCAATGAGGACTTGATAATGTAGTCTTTAACTCTTTATCAGAGGTATTCTAAAAGTTTAAACCCAATAATTTTAGAGCTTCCACCAAAGCAATCACCAATGACAAGCTTTATACACGGTCAATATTTGTTCACAGCACATGGTGAATAAGCATAATCCAAGTGCCGGAACAAACTTGCATCAACTAGCTTTAACCTGGAGTGTTCACGTTGAATATTTAGTTTTGTGGTACATTATTTTCTATAAATACAGCTCAATATTTCATGCAACATACTTGGTGAATAATGTTTTAGTTTGAACATTAACTATAGAAGTAGTATTTTTATGAAACGCACGCTGCAACTGCAAATGAAAAGACTTTGGCTCTTGGCATTTCTTTAATGCAAGGCCTCACTAGCATTATGCGCAGCCCAAATTATCCCATGCGAGGTGTTTTTTTTTTGCAATTTTCCTTTGTTATAATATCCTAGTCTGTACTCATTAAGTGTTATGCTCATGCTGGGTAGATAGTACTTTACTTTTACATTTTACATTTACATTTATATCTTTTTTTTTGGGTGGGGAAGCATGTGATATAAGGTCGGGTATGAAGTTACTACTTATGCATACAACGATTTCATTGTTTCTTTTTTTTTCTTTGTTATGATATTTTATGCAAACAAATCTGTACCTGCTTATTCATGTCGAATATAGATTCAGTTTTTGGGAATATATTGGATTTCCTTGGATGATATGCCAGGAAGTGGTTAGTGCCAGCATTTGTGCATTTGACTTGACAGTTTTTTCTTTTCAAATAGGAATTAGTTGAAGGTTTTGACCAGGAAACTGCAGCTGTTGTGTTGGCTAGATACATCTCTTTGAAAATGGAGATGGAGGTAAACTTTTGGTGCACTTGAATTGAGCAATGTGTTGTCACTTGAACTGTCAACATTAAATGCTGTTATAAAACAGTAACAGTTATGTATTGGTTCTTTTGTTATCTAATCGTCATTCTACTATGCACATATTAGTTTTCTTTTTTTGTTCTGTGTTATTTTTGGTTTAAATGTATATTGGCATGTTTCTATGAGTTACAGACTAGCGCAGTCTAGGAATATGGACTACAATCTTTTCTTTAAACAGTACACATGGTTCCACTCCACTCTATTTGCTATATATTACTTTATTATTCAAGGAGGTAGCTTTTAGAGCATTCTATAGAGCCTCTGAATTAAGACCAGAGATCCAGATTTCCATTTATCAAACACTGTTAGACCATGGCTGACACCAGTTCGCAGTCTTTAACCAGTGGGAATGATTCTTACTCAAGCTGGTTTGATTTGGTGAATTTGTTTGATAAATTTGAACATAACCAATTCTTAACCTTGTTATCATCATGAATGTGTCAACTGGAACTACTATTCATTGTTTTCTATTCGAACTGTATTTACTTGTTCCATGGCTGGGAACGTTCTGTTGTGCATTGGGAAATTGGTTATCACTTATCATCAATATCTGACTGATTGCCACTTGGGACTCTGGTTAAGACATTTCAAATCTGTTTGTTGTAATGATATTTTTTTTGGCCCTTTTCCTTTTGTGATTGATAAAAAATGTATGTTTAAAAATTGAGACATGGCATTAACCTTTTATTTTTATATTTGTAGGAAGAGTTCGATGCAACACGGTGGCTTGATAGATCTCTCATACGTCTCTGTTCAAGATTTGGGGATTATCGGAAGGATGATCCCTCTTCATTTAGCCTGCATTCAAATTTCTCATTGTTCCCTCAGTTTATGTTTAATCTGCGGCGTTCACAATTTGTTCAGGTGAGCTGACATGCATTTTCACCCTTATTTACTGGAAAATGTTTTTGCCTCATTAATACTATCAGATTTTATGTTACAGGTTTTCAATAACAGTCCAGATGAGACAGCGTATTTCAGGATGTTACTCAATCGTGAGAGTATCACTAACTCGGTTGCCATGATCCAGCCTTCCTTGATATCATTTTCTTTTGATTCACCTCCATCTCCGGTATTTCTAGATGTGGCATCAATAGCAGCAGATCGTATACTGCTACTTGATGCGTACTTTAGTGTTGTTATTTTCCACGGTATGACAATTGCTCAGTGGAGAAACATGGGTTATCAGAACCAACCTGAGCATGAGGTAACTAGAATAATCCACAACAATTTCTTCCCTTCATTACTAGTCCTAGCCCATCTTCTTTTGATGCAGAGAGCTATGTTGTTCCTCTTTTTCTTTATGGAGTACATTTTTGCTAGAAGTTGGTAGCCACTGTTGTGCTGGTTTCACACTAATGGCCTTACGTGGTGTCTTTTATGAGAACACATTGTGGTTGCATGTATTGTTTTACATTCTTTCTGAGGGCCGATATGCACACAATCTAAGTGTTCCCACATTCTGATGCTTTCTGTTCATTTTTTCAGCAATTTGCACAACTATTACAAGCACCACATGAGGATGCGCAGATGATAATAGAAGGTCGATTTCCAGTTCCAAGACTAGTTGTCTGCGACCAACATGGCTCGCAGGTTTGTGATCTTTACATGTTTTATATTGAATTCTCTTTCTGCCACCTTCATGTTGCAACATTCAACAAATGCTTTGAAAATTAATACCTTTTCCTTAGCTGTAAATTACTTGGATTCTTCCCACGTGATAGTATTTTGTGCAAAATTCCTTGACATCATACCACATTGTGAAGAAAGTGCCTTCAACTTATTAACATTGCATACTATACAAATCTTTGCAGGCAAGGTTTTTGTTGGCTAAGCTGAATCCATCGGCCACATATAATTCAGCTCATGATGTTGCTCCAGGTTCTGACATCATTTTCACCGATGATGTTAGCTTCCAGGTCTTCTGTGAGCACCTACAAAGGCTGCTGGCTGTTCAGTCTTAAGGAAATGTATGCAAAAGTTGTACACCCTATTTGATAGTTGCTGATAATTCACTGGGTTCTTAGGTTGGAGTTGTGAGAAAATTTCCCTTTTCTGTTTCTCTTTGGTCACAATTTTTTGAGATCAGACATTTTTTTCGGGAAATAATCCTAAGGAATGTGCCCAGAGGTCTATTATCTACATAGTCTATACTTGTTGACATCACCCAGCTTCTGTAAGGTGGTTGCATGAATCGAGGTTTGTGTCAAGTTAAGTTTACAGAAATGTAAGATGCTATTCGCAAGGCATTATAGTGCAGTGTGCATACAATTGAGCAGCTTATGCAATTGTCCCTTGAAGCACATGAGTTTGTAAATGTGACATTCTGGACACTCGTGCTCTTCAACATTTGATTTTATAGCTAACTTATCTACATAAAAAATGTCACATTTGTAAAATTTATGTATTATGCCTAGACACCATGACTAAGTTTTTTCGTGAAAAATAAATTTTTTTACAAATATTGAGATTTGAATTGCTACTGCCTTTATTTCAAATTGTAAGTCGTTCTTGTTTTTTAAGATATATAGCTTTTATACTCTAGACATAATCTTTTTTTATAACAAACCACATTCCATTAAGTACAACGAGCTGTGTGCAGACAGAAAGGCAGCATATTTACAGAAGCCAGTGCGTTCTTGATTGGGCACTGGTTTACATGAGCAGGATTTGTACAAGAGAGCAGAAAGCAGCTTGTGCAAGACGCTGAGACATAAGTCTATGAACCTGTTTTGCTAGAGTGCGACGTAATATTCATTTCTCTTCAATCTAAGAGATTGGATTCACTCTAAGAGATTGGATGAAGTCTTGGGTGAGAGGCCTTATTCTCCAGGAGTGACTATTGTTGTTGAAGTTCATGAAGGAGTTGATTCTGTCAAAAACTTTGCCTACTGAAGATTTAGAGCTCGGGTAATTCTTGCAGCCAGGGCCATTGCAACAGCTTCTGCCATTATCACTGATGACATTTTGCCAATGTTGCCTTGAATGGTGATAGTTTGTGTTTCATTTGGTTGTGTATTGGTGATTAGAACTCCAAGACTTGGGCTCTTTGTTGTGATGTACCTTGATTTGGGGCTATTGAGGCATCCGTGAAGCATATGGGACCTGGCAGCAACGCAGGAAAGTTGGCCCTGTAGGTCGATGGTCCTTCCTGAATTTGTCGTAGTTGGTCGTGTCCTGCATCGAAAAGGATGTACCTTGTGAAGGGGTGCTGCATTGTGCAGCCTTCCATTGGATGGTTGCCTTTGTTGTTGATCTTGATGCATAAGTGTGAGTGATCTGGATTAGGTAGGTCATGTGTAGAAAAGTTTGTTCCTGCATAGGTGAGATTGTAGTTTTGGTTTGGTGGATGAGCATTGGAAGTCATGCTGCTATTGTTGGCATCTGGAGAAGTTTGGTGGGGAGTGGAATTCATAGAGATGTAAGCAGCTACTCCCTCTGTCCCAAAAAAGCGATGTACAGGTTAGTGGAGAAGAGAAATGTCCATAATAACCTTAGTTTGTTACACTTGATTCCCTTAAAAAAAATATTGCGTGGCTTAGTTTCCTAATTAACACGCGATGCATGCAACCATGCAGAGATCCACGGTTAGCAACCAAGAGTAGGGCATTTCAATTGGTGTTAGATAAGGAAAGGACCGGATTTGTTGCGCATGCACGAGTCGAATAGATTCTTTTGTGGAACAACATCATGTCTAAAGCTCAAAACAACGTTTTTTCTGGGATAAATTTCAAATCACAGAACATCATTTTTTTTGGACGAAGGGAGTATTTTCTTGTGGACCTGCCAAACACTCTAGGATTTGTGGTTGAATCTTTTGTCATTTCTAGCTTTCCAAATATGATAGAGTTGTGTTTCCTTGTGGACCCGCCAGACACTCCAAGATTTGCAGTTGAATCTTTTGTCATTTCTAGCTTTTCAAATATGCCACAGAGTTGTTAGAATTTTTTGAAGCATATCATCAGGAGTATGTGGTTGAATGATAGCTGTTCTAAGGAAAATGGACCCATGGCCCATTGTTGACACCTGTGGGTGCACGCAGAAAAGGTCCGCAAGCGCACGGATATCGTAGTACCTTTTCACCCGAAGTATTCCAAGTATCGTATCCACAGGGAAACGTGTGAGATTAACTACAGTCTAACTTAACTAGGGATAACAATAAGGTTAAGGATATATAGGAGTGTAGGGAGGACTTCTAAGGTTTTTAACTTCTAACTTAAGTTAGCGTTGTATTCTAGTGTTCACCAAGGGACATCGCTAAAGAAGAGTATAGCTAAATATGCCTCTTCCCCCGCAATCGGGTCCTACTAATCCTACAAACGGGAGGTGGATTATAGAGAACCTCATAGCTTTCACTCTACTTGGTCTACCACACGTTCCGGCCTGCAGGGTGCATCCGCAAGCAACTAAGAGTCTAAGCACCACGCTTACACTATCGATTACTACTTTAACTCTGCTAGCAAGATTAAAGCACTCAAACGAGTTGTGATCCTGATAAACACGAAAGCACAAAACTACTTTAAATCAGAAATCAATTACCAGAGTTATCTTGAATGTAGGCTCAAATAGATCCTGAATCCGCCAAGGTACAAGTCATAGAAGTAGCACCGACAAACCTGATACTTCCTCCAAACTCTTTCCTCACTCTCTAGCTCACTATTATGTACAAGGGATAGATCCTCCTAGAGGACTATTCTTCTCTTCAATTGCTATCTATGATCCTGAAGGATAAAGGATGGCCTTCTGGAGAAGGTCAGGGGGTCCTTTTATAGGGGGAGATAGAGTAGGGGGCAAGGCATTGCCATGTCATCAATCCGCGTCAACTCCCTCGATCATCGTTGGATGAACCGACTTCAAACCAACCTTCATACACGGTGGAGATTGATCCTCATAGGTGGTGAAGACTACACTTCGAAGGAGAGCCTAACAGGTGGCCCCCATAGGCCAGCCGGCCAAGGGGTGGGGCTGGCCGCCCCCCTGTCAGCCTTTCACCCTAATCTTTGGCGGTATGTCTTGGATAAATGTCTTGAAGCCCTTTTTGGTTGAGTCTGTCGCAGATAATCAAAATTACTTCATGTGTTATGTCTCATTTTGGCCTGTAGAATGGCTAAATTCACCTGCATGCAAATATCCACCAAGCCTTGTGGAATTCGTTAGTTTAAAGCTTCTAAACATATGGTGATGTTTGATTTTAGGGATTTGAGCAGGTAAAAATGATGGTTTATTTTGGCGGTAGAGACCGTCAACAAGCTCCCCCACACTTGTTCTTTGCTCGTCCTCGAGTAAAGATTCAAAATAAAGTAAACATGAGTATAACATCTTAAGACATGTAGCTGACATAATGATTTATTCCAACACATTCCTTATATAGGTGGGATATGTGGCAGTGTCTAACATATATCCTTGAGTGGTTAAAAAGTGGAACAATTCTCGAAGCTAAGTCATCTTCCTAAATTCACATCTCAGTAACTTGGAGTTTTTAAAGTTTTCACAAGAAAAACATAGTTCACTTTATACTCCTCAAATGGTACTCTCAAATCGTTCAATGGTGTATGATTCCTCACCAAGGCACATCATAGTAATGCCTTCTTTTTTTGTGTCAAACTACTTCTAAAGGTTTATGTGGAGTTTTAGGTAGGGAAAAATATAAAGGCATACTTGCATTGCATATATTGTTAAGTCAAATAAAGGATCACTACAAGAAATCTGTGCTTCTATGACGATTGCCAGATGACATAGCACCTATCTGTCATAAACAGAGGCTATTTTTGACGATTGTTCACAGGATGACAACTGTCTATGACCAAGCTGTGTGTTTGTCATAAACATCGTCACAGTATACTCTGCATCGGCTTTGCGATGATAGATCGTGACAATAGTTGATCGTCATAAAATATAGAACTATTATAATTTTTTAAAAATATTTTCTTATCCTACGTGGCTGCTGGTCCACACATCATGTCTTAGATGGACTCTTCCCGTCCACGTCAGCTCCTAGTCCCATGTTAGAATTGCAAGGAAAAATTTCACAAAAATGAAATAGAACCTAAATGTAATTGGTAATATGTGATGCTTTTAAATTTGCTAGCCCACAATATGGGCTTGGACTGTAATGTTGAGCCTCAATGGACAAAGGCACGTCAATTCATAGCAGGGTCAAAAAAACATTTGGGTCAATTGGTTGTAGGGTCGAGATGGCGGACTAGAGGGGGGTGAATAGTCCTTTCTAAAAATAATCATGTCGGCTAACCATAACAATTGCAGAAATTAAAACTACCAGTCTAGCCAAGACTACATCCCTCTAAGTTATCAAGCACCTTGAAAAGATCCTAAACAAGCAACTAAGGTGCTAGGCTAGCTAGAGCTCACCTAACCAATTCTAGGAGCAAGGTCACACAAACCTATGCTACTAGTACTTCAAGCATGGGGGAGCTCCTACACAACTAGTGATGCAAAGCGCACAAAGCCCCTAAGCTCACTAGCAATGCTCAATAACAAGGCTACATAAGCCAAATTATAGAGCGCAAATTACTTAGCTACACAAACTAAGCAATGTGACTAATAAGGTTACTCAAACCAAATTAGCCATGCAAGAGAACTACTTCTATGCTACACAAGCAAGAAGGCAACTAGCAAGCTACTAAAGCTAAACTAGTCACAAGAGCATCTGCACAAGCACAATATATGAAATATAAATACAAGCTTGTGTTGCGTGGAGTGCAAACCACTAAGAAGATGAAGACAATGTTGACATGGTGATTTTCTCCCAAGGTTTACTTGGTTGCCACCAAGCTACGCCCCCGTTGTGTCGACCGCTCACTTGGTGGTTCGGCGGCTAATTGGCATCACCCGCCAAGCCCGCACGTCGGGCACCGCAAGAACCTACCCCAAAAGTGAGGGTAGCTCAATGACACGCTCTACTAGAGTTGCTCTTCACGATCTCCGTGGGGTGAGCACAATCCCC